GCAAGTGTGGCCGTTTTGGCGGCACTCTACGAGGTCATCCCAGTATTTGAGAGTGTGATAACTGAGCTGGATGCACGCCTTCGGCCATACGAATCGGTCAACCACGAGCCATCTGAGGCGCCCGAAGATCACATCCCGATCAACCTGCGAGCCGCGAGGCGAAAAGCGAGCAATTACTTTACTAAGATCCTCCAAAGTCCCATTTACTACGCAGCTACGGCACTACATCCACGATATAAAACATACTCTAAGCGCTTCTGGCGCGACAAACCTACACAATTGAGCACCGCGCACGCGAAGTTTCTGCGGGTTTGGGCTGCCTACAAGCCTGCCGCTGCTGCCACAACACCAACCCCTGCGCCAAAACCTACCATGAGCAGCTTTGACGACGCTATCGACGCTATACTAGATGAGGACGGCGAGCATACATTGGAGGTGGAGGATGAGTACGATAGCTGGTTAAAAGAGCCTATGTGGACGTCTGATCAACACAAGGAGGGTCCAACAGCTGTACAGTACTGGTTATCGTTGAAGCCGAAGTATCCACATCTTTCACGATTGGCGATCGACGTGTTGACTATACCCGCCTCCAGCTCTGATTGTGAGCGCGTTTTTGCGGGAACTGGCGATATAATTGAGCCACAAAGGCGGAAAATTGGCGCGCAGTTACTGGCTGCTTTGGTGTGCTTGCAACGGTGGACTCGTGCAGGTTTTACAACACCAAGCACGACAACAGCAGCAAAGCATACTGATGAGGAGCTCACGGAAGAGTTTGCGATAGGAACGTGGGAAGAGCCGCCTGCAGAATTGTCATAGAAACGTCCCTTCAGAACCTTAAGTCTATCAATATTCAATCAATCAACCAACCAAAAATTGGCTCTTCAGTCTCATCAACTCAAACAAACAAACTGTAGCCCTAAGAAATGAGCCAGTCAATCAACATCTACGCCTCAAATGTTGGTTGTTTTGTTTGTTGACTTCTCTGGATAATACTACGGTTAGGAGACGCCCTCCTTGAGATAGCCTTCGGATAATATGAGGCTCCCGACTCCCAATCCCTGTAATACTTCGGATCTCTTGTTCTTAGTCCTTTTGGTACTCGGCTCTAAGCACAAGCACATCCGCCATACAAAGAAAAGGAGAGAACACACAATCAACCACAAAGATCAAGCCAAATAGTCCACGTGTCCGATGCACGCTAAGTAAAGAGAACAAAACAGCAAGGAATCAAAAGCCGGACACATATAATAAATAATTTTCAACCACTTGTTTTACAGTTGTTAGCGGTTGCAGCTTCGCCCCTACATGCAGCTACGTAACAAGTTTAAATGCCCTAACTTCCGTATAGATGTTCGCAGGAAAATAGACGATGTGATTGGTCAGTTGCCGATCCAATAATGACTAGTCTTTAGAATGCTTACGTGCAGGGGGAAAGGAGGGGTGAGGCCGCAATCGCTAACAACTGTATAATACCATCGCGCCAGATAGCGCATTTTATCTGAGAAGGGGATTCACAAACTAATTACGGCTAACGCTGTTCCCTAGCGATTTTCGTATTTGCCTTTCTTCATACTCTTCTCTATGTACTGTAACTACTACATTAGAATTTTTTGTCGGTCCTGTCGGTCCTGTCGGTTCTGTCGGTCCTGTCGGTTCTGTCGGTTCTGTCGGTTCTGTCGGTTCTGTCGGTTCGGTCGGTTAGACTCCGCAACAATCAATTCAATCCGGTCACTCTCCTAGACCCACTTACCTATCTAGGTAGGGCTTAAACTCCTATAGGTAACTACTAGGCTTAAAGCGGTAATCAATCAATCCAATCTGAACCTTCTAGGACCCACTTAATTGATTGTTGCGGACTGTGCGGTCGGTTCTGTCGGTTCGGTCGGTTCTGTCGTCTATGGAGAGCTCGAGAGGGGCAGAGACAGCGACAGGGATAGGGTCAGGGATAGGGGCCAGAACACCAAAGTCATCTGCGGCTGTTCGCAGCCAAACAATCGCAATAAATACCAATCATATTTCGATCTCCTCTATGCCAAGCTTGATCAATATGACGTCGCGCCACATAATATCTACAATATGGACGAGAAGGGCTTCTTACTTGGCCGTATTTCACCACCAAAAAGAATCTTTTCGAAGGAGTTTTGGGAGTAAAAGAAAGTACGGCAATTCCTCCAAGATGGCAGTAGAGACTGGATAATGATTATTGGCTGTATCTGCGGTGATGGGAGCTCAGTAGATCCTACGATAATCTACGAGGGCGTAGAGGGTCTTTGCGATGGATAGCTGCAGGATCTAGTGGTGGGAAAACACCCCGTTTTTTGCTGTACAAGCCCGTCGGGATAGTGTAACAATGACCTCGCGCTGGCTTGAGTTGAGCAGGTGTTCAATCGGCTCACGAAGGAAAAAGCAAAACGCGACTACCGGACGCTTCTCGTCGACGGGCACGGCAGTCACCTGACGCCTTCCTTCATCGAGTACTGCCATACCCACCGAATACTACTCGCAGTATTTCCGCCTCACGCCACTCACAGCCTCCAGCCACTCGACCTTGGCGTGTACTCACATCTGGTAGCTGCGTACAGTACCGAGCTCACCCATCTAATCCACAGCGGTCAAGGACTATTCGATATGCGGAAAAGTGATTTCCTACGCATATTGTGGGCGGAATATACATCTGCTTTCACAGCTAATGATATGTTGAGTAGTTTTCGTGCCATTGGGATCTATCCGCGCGATCCCGACGTCATGATAAAACGCTTCAAAACACCACCACGACGAGCCGATATAGATATAGAAATTGGAGAGGCAGGTGATGGAGATGGCTGGAGAGATCTGTCAAAGTTATTTGACACTGCTGTGCCAAATACATCGAAATATGCAGCCAAACAGCTTAAACAGGCGCTGCATCCATTGCAGATCCAGAACGAGCCTTTACACCATGAAAACAAGGAACTGCGGGGTAGTATTACTACCAGAAAACGCCGCAAATCTGATAGAAAGCTTGTCGATCTGCAGCAGCACGAAGAGTATCATAGTATTGCAGTGGTGTGGAGCCCTCGATCAGTAAGAGAGGCTAAGCCCGCGAGGCAGCAGAACAACTGCAACACCATGAAAAAAAAAGAAAAAAAAACAACAACAGAGGGGGGAGCGAGCTGCCGCAGCTGCGTATAAAAAACAGATGGCACAAGCAGCACGGGAGACTCGTGGAATGGCCAAAGTAGTGCGGCAGCAGGAGCGTGATGCGAGGGCTGCACAACTAGCTGTCGCGCGCGCTCAAAAGGCACAAGACTGCGCTACTATAATCGCACAAAAAGCTCGCGATAAGTAGAATATAGCTAAGCGAAAAGCTTCATCAATTTAGAATAAAAAATATCAAAGCGGCGTCGTGTTGTGTGGAGGCTGAAAGTGGTAGTGGTGATGCATCACCGCCCGCCAAGCCTCCCACTAAAACCACCGCGCGCGGCCGCAACGTGCGGTTACCCAGCAAATATCAGTAGATATATACCAAGTATACAATCATGCCATTACTCCACCGGAAAACCTCGCGATAATAGCGTTTTGGTGGTGGTGGTCAAAAGCTTCATTTTTTGGCAGGCACGCATTTTGGTGGGGTGTTGCATTGGCTGAACTGTTGCACGCACTGACCACATACCGGTAACTTAGAGGTGCCGGACGGGCCAACGCCGCGGACGGGCCAACACCGGATTTTCCCTGCCAACACTATCACAAACTTGAAGCTGTAGAGCTCTACACAAAAGCTATTATCGCGAGAAATCCTAGTGTAGTAATCTCGTAGTATTGTTTATTTGATCTATCTACTGATATTTGATTGGCAGCTTGATGGGGCGGCCTGAACGCGAGCGTGGTGATGGTAGTGCAGCTGATCGATTGGCTGGCTGCGCACCACCACTACTACTACCAACGATAATGTTTTTTGATACTACCTTGGCACGGCACTTAGAGCTAGGCTTCTTGCCTATTTGAGAGATTTTGATAGCTTTTTCAAGTCGCTTGTGAGCGGCTTGGCGGGCTATCCGGTAGGCAGCTGCTTTAGCTTTCTGCCTCTCACGATCTAGTCTTGCCTCCGCCCGCGCACGTCGCCGCGCATCTAGTTCTTGAGCTTTAAGTAGCTTTCTCTCCTCTCTAGCTTCGATTGCGATAGCTTTTTGGTATTGTGACTCCTCATAATCGCGCTGTTTCTGCTCATATTGCTGGCGAGCTTCTCGCACCTTCCGTGGAGACCAGAAAGTAGCTCCACCATGATAATCGTCGGACAACTCGAGCGTACCAGGCTGGATACGCTCCTTCCGCTGTCTCTCATCGGTGAGAGCTGCCCGGAGTTGCTCGTTTTCTCGTTGAAGAAACGCTGTATCGGCGGATAGTTTCATCATGATTCTATTAAGCGCTGAGATCGATCTACTGCTTGTAGATTGATTGAGTAGCTGCCGAATCGTTTTCCAATCAGCTGCTGATGCTACTAATGCGTCTCTATCGCTATTAGTAGCTGTAGTTTTGAACCTTTGAAGTATAACTTCTGGATTGAGCGGTGACAGTCCAGTAGCTCTAAAAGCATGGAGAATTGATAATTCCTTGAACGCTGCGCACCAAGCTGTCCAGAACAGCGGGAAGAAATGAGATTTGGTGAATAGTATCAGCCCTTAGCTAGTATCGGTGAAGTTTGATAGCTCGTTCGAGTATGGGGTGGATAGTGGCTTAAATAATCTAACATTGAGCGGCTGCAGCGTATGCGTTGAGTGTGGCGGGAAGATAGCTAATAGTGTTTTATTCTGATCACAATAGTTAATAAAGTCCATCGTTATATGACTATGGTGCCCATCTATGATGAGTAATCGGTAAGAAGGTTGAGCTTTTGGCTTAGTGGCTGGATTGAACACTTGTTTGAGCCATTGGAGACCGATATTATCGTTCGACCAGCCAGTGGCTGATGCGGTGATATACACAGTATGTATATTTGGATCGAAACCTTGCAACCACGAGCTTTGGATCGATCCAGATTGGCTGGAGTAGATGATGCTTGGATCTAGATACAATCCATCCGCGCAGATACACGCGATCAGCGCAATCCATTCGCGATTACCATCTTGAATATTTGATCTTTTCAATTTGGACTTGAGAGCAGCTTTAGAAAAGATTCGGACTGAACGGGACTGTACTCCAATCATGAAGCCCTTCTCATCCATATTATTGTCAGATATTCACTCTCATCTGAAATACTGATGAAATAGGTAATGTGTTGGTTGGCTTTGCACTAAGTGCGTAAAGGGAAATAACGATAACTAGGAATGCATTCTGTTCGGTGGTTCTGATTGATTGTCTACGAACATAGCTGCTACGAAGGTATACCCAGAGAAGTCAACAAACAAAACAACCAACATTTGAGGCGTAGATGTTGATTGATTAGCTCATTTCTTAGGGTTACAGTTTGTTTGTTTGAGTTGATGAGACTGAAGAGCCAATTTTTGGTTGCTTGATTGATTGAATATTGATAGACTTAAGGTTCTGAAGGGACGTTTCTATGACAATTCTGCAGGCGGCTCTTCCCACGTTCCTATCGCAAACTCTTCCGTGAGCTCCTCATCAGTATGCTTTGCTGCTGTTGTCGTGCTTGGTGTTGTAAAACCTGCACGAGTCCACCGTTGCAAGCACACCAAAGCAGCCAGTAACTGCGCGCCAATTTTCCGCCTTTGTGGCTCAATTATATCGCCAGTTCCCGCAAAAACGCGCTCACAATCAGAGCTGGAGGCGGGTATAGTCAACACGTCGATCGCCAATCGTGAAAGATGTGGATACTTCGGCTTCAACGATAACCAGTACTGTACAGCTGTTGGACCCTCCTTGTGTTGATCAGACGTCCATATAGGCTCTTTTAACCAGCTATCGTACTCATCCTCCACCTCCATTGTATGCTCGCCGTCCTCATCTAGTATAGCGTCGATAGCGTCGTCAAAGCTGCTCATGGTAGGTTTTGGCGCAGGGGTTGGTGTTGTGGCAGCAGCGGCAGGCTTGTAGGCAGCCCAAACCCGCAGAAACTTCGCGTGCGCGGTGCTCAATTGTGTAGGTTTGTTGCGCCAGAAGCGCTTAGAGTATGTTTTATATCGTGGATATAGTGCCGTAGCTGCGTAGTAAATGGGACTTTGGAGGATCTTAGTAAAGTAATTGCTCGCTTTTCGCCTCGCGGCTCGCAGGTTGATCGGGATGTGATTTTCGGGCGCCTCAGATGGCTCGTGGTTGACCGATTCGTATGGCCGAAGGCGTGCATCCAGCTCAGTTATCACACTCTCAAATACTGGGATGACCTCGTAGAGTGCGCCAAAACGGCCACACTTGCCGCGGCCTTGGAGGCGATCTGTAGCAAACTTGAGCGGCTGCAGTATCGCCATGTACTCAGTAATCACCGCCCAGTCAGCCGCCGTAAGGCCGTCTGACCTCATCCACCGCGGCACATCAGGCAGCTTGTTTCCTCTAATAGCTGCCTGTTCGTCAGCCTGTTCAGTCTCGCGAATGTGGTACGTGGCGTATGCGTTGATAGCTTGTTGGAGCTGAACTCCGCGCTTAAAGCAGTCGTAATAGCTGTTCCAACGTGTAACACACGGCTTAATTGGCTCGCGAGTGCCGCCGCTGGCGCCTGTGGGCATGCTGTTAACTGCCTCGCGTTGGCAATCTTCAAAAATGCTCCACTGCTTCGGCGGGTTGATGTAGTTGATAATATCAAGATACACGCCAAGCGGTCCTTCTTTCCGCCACTCCTTCATGTAAAAATCCTCCATCTTTGTGTTCTCCAGGGCGTTGTTATACGCGTCAGCATCCCTCCCGAACATAATCGTTTGGCCAACAAGGTTAAGTATGTGGCAAGCGCAGCGGAGGCGGCGATCGGAGGCAGAAAAGTGGTACATCGCGGCGAGTTTGTTAACAGCGGTGTCGTTATTGTAAGCGTTATCGAGCACAAAGTAGCCGAGTTTGCTGCGATTGATGCTGAAGGATTGCAGGGATTTTGGTTACAGCGTCAGCTATCGCCTCACCAGTGTGGGCACCCACCAGCTGCGGCAGCGCGATGGGTAGGTCAACTATCGCGCCCTTACTGTTGGCGTAGTGAGCAACTACAGAAAAGAAGCCACGTTTGCCGCCTTTTGTCGTCCACCCATCGAAGCTTATATGTACCTTGCTCTCGGCTTCAGCCAACGCGCGCACCACCTGAGGTCGTAGCCAACTGTACAACCTCATCACGAACGCTGACACGCTGTTATGAGACCTCCATAACGCCGCCTCTGCCTCAGGATTAGCAAGCCTGATCATCTTGCGAAAAGCCGGCGTCTCAAACTCGCGGAGTGGTCTGTTGTTGTCGACCAGCCAGAGCGCAGCTGCTTGCCGAAATTCTTGTACGTCGAAGTTTCCTATAGTCTTGTACGCCTCTAGACTAAATTTGACACCGCTTAGAGCTGCCTGACGAAGTGATTGTTGTCCATGTTTGCGGAGAGGTTTGCTTAGGATTGGACCGTCTTTGCTGAGCCGATGACCAGGTTTATCAAGCTGGAGGTGCCCGTTGGCGGCAGTGGTTGACTTCGTTACTCGGTGTACACCATTAGGTAGCTTATGAATATGACAGTACTTGCACACAAAGTACAACTCATCTGGGTGGTGAGTACCCTCCTTCCAGACACGCCAGCCGTGTTGAAAAATCCAGCTTGCCTTGCCTCGTGGAGTGCTCAGCGGCGCGACAAACCCCTTTAATCGCGACCAATCGACGCCCTCAAAGTCGCGAAAATCGACGCTCACAGCGCTATCCTCCTCCACCGAAGCCTCAGTGGCAGCGCTAGAGAAAGCTAAAGGCTGTACAATAGAGTCCTCTGGCTTATCAAACATTAACTGCGACTCCCAGGCTGGCTCATCAGTGAGCCGAGAGGCTTGTGAGGCAGCCAAAATAGGCAGTGGTGATGCCCGCCGAGGGCGCTCCTCGGGTTGTTGTACAGGCTTACATGGCGGTTCAATAGCCCGTGTGGGCGGCTCGATAACTTCTGTAGGCGGCTCTGTAGGCGGATCCGGCGTACTTTCTGGCAGCTCTATCGGCTGGGTTGGCTGGCTGCCGTCACCCAACAGCGCCTTGAGCGTAGGTTTGCGCGTACGTTGTGCTCGCTTGAAGGGAGTATCAGCTTCTTCGGCAGCCTCGGGCTTGCGTTTTGCTGGTATAGAGGGCATGGATAAGGCTAAAAGTAAGCCGGAGCCGCGAGAAAGTAAGGTGTTGTTAAATGTTATAAGCCTGATGTCAGTAGCACTAGGAATGGAACATGTGTGAATCGTGTTGTGTATTGTGCTACAGGAATTGAGATCTATGTCTCTGCCAGCTAGCGTTGTGGGCGCTAAGCCTCGTACGTACTAGCCTGGAGTGAGTGAGAGATGGGATGGAACCTAGGTCATATAACTTTGTCAGATTTTTATGGATGGGATCAAGTGTATTGTCTGTCTCTGTCTACGGCTCTGTCTGTGGGAGGTGGCCTCGCCTCGGGCTTGGCAGTGCTAAGTCCCGGCGCTAGCCCTGGTTTGGGGGTCTCATGTCCTTCCCCAACCACCATCGGCTCGATCATGGAGCAAAACCTCGCCTCAATCTGACAAACTTACACGCGAGTAGGCTTAGTAAGCAAGATCCAACACTAAGAATTCGTCGTTGAGCAGCTATCCCAGAGGCCTCACCTAGGTATCCCCCTCCCTCGCTTACTATCAAACAACACCAATCCTATCAACATTTTGTTCTCAAGATTGGTTGATTGATTGACAGAAATACAGTGGCTAACTGTTGGTTAGTTGGTTGGCTCCGAATCAAACAAATCAAACAACAATATTGATGAGATATTGATTACTGACAACCTTGGGTATACCTAAGCTCTGCGCAAGGTGGGCCGAAGTCGGGCCGAAGTGTCAAGCAGCCGACGTCTCTACCGATACTCACGATCCGACATAATGAATGGTGATGATGTTGATTATTTTTACTGTGTTGTGGTTCTGTCTACGGTTGTGGGCACACCTAGGGGGTGCCAAGCCTTCCTGTGATCCGATTGGCTCTCACAGATGCCGGGTCGCGCTAGTCTAACCCAGCGTCTGTACGCTCTCATCTTCAACAGTGCTATTATCTGACAATTATATACAGGGGGGTGACATAGAAAAAACACGTTACTAAAAGTTCTAGTTTTTAAGCTAGTTGTTACACGGGGTTAGGTGCTGATACTTCTCCAAGCTTGATCCGGATTAGGGCGAGTAGGATAATGTGAATAGCTCCGTGAGAGTTTGTCTGGCGATACAGTGGAGTGGTGTGCTTGTAGAAAAGATGCAAAAGGTTTGACAACTACTAATCTATTTAATAGACTAATAGGTTATAATCTTGTTAAGTAAAGTAACTAACTACTGGATGGTTGCTCGTATACAAGCCAAGATAAATGCACCTTGCAAGGAGCAAAAATGCGTTCCTCTAGCGACAGCGAAGCATACCGCACAGCCATCATCAGAACTTGCATCACCATCACAACCACAGCAGTCTAAGCTTGTTCGGCGAAGGGGTTCTTCAGATGCACCTAAGCTCACACCGTTGTTAAAGCACCGTAGGAATCATTCTTCGCCAACGGTTGGGGGAGGTTCAACAGCAGACAGCAGCCGATCTAGGAGTAGAAAACGCCCGGGTGAATCGAGCGATTCAGAAAAATCATTCTCTTTCACACGCTTCATAGTTACCGAATCAGAAGCGAACTTTCCCCAATCGACAATTAACCGATCTAAACGCTCGAGGATAGACATCCCACAAGGTCGGTCACACACCCGGTCTCCTCAGCTGAGTTCAGAGATCACGTCTACAGTGGATGTCAATCTGTCCAATGACACCTCCGCCAATATCATGATATCAGACACACCTAACAAGAACAACATTGTTGATGTCGATGAAGACAGCCTATCGGGGGCCGATCAAGTGAAGCGAAAGCTACAACTTGACCTTGCTCGTCTACTGAATAGTGAGCCAGATTACACTGGCATACTACGTGAAGTTATACCGCCCACGAAGCAACTTTATGCGATAAGATGGCATCGCAAACCCTACAGTGACCTGGAGATTGAATTCAGCAATTTCAACCGAGCATTGATCCATTGGGAAGATCTTCTCAAGAGGCTCACGGCTTCCACTGGTATCGCACAATAGCATCTTGAGGACCTTCTTCAAAAACTAGCCGACCAGGCGACCTTTGAAGATCGTGTAGCTGTGTTTCATGATTCTGGGCCGAGATCACACGTAGGCTTTCCTCTTGAAAGCTGGACCGTTTCCCTTGCCCCGTTGTTCGAAGGTCTGTTGGGCGATACTTATATGCCTCTTTCATTCGAGATTCTAGTAAATAACTTGAGATCTGTTACTCAAACCATGTATGAAACTGTTCAATATAGCGAGTAGTCGAACCACCGCGAAGCAGTTGTACAATCTATTTGCAAAGCCCCTAACATTCAAAGTGCTAAACACTTTAATGTGAGCCTTTCCTATGTGCTATTTATTGCTGTTCTGGTGTCATGTTTGATGCTTACATCGATAGATGCTTGTTCTGACAATAGTATGTACGCATCTGCCACATTACCGAACGGACTATACAACGCATGTGCTGCAAGGCCTGTTTTGTTCCTCACTTACAGTCGCCCGCATGCAATCCACGGCTCTAATTCTGTTTGTCTTGCTTGTGTGGGCGTTCACTGCATCTCGCTAACAAGCCTATTCTCCTGCTGGTTCGCGAACGAGCACTGGCGCGTGAGAACGGAATGACGACCTGTTCCAGCTTTACAGCAAATCACTTTCTCTCTCGTTGCTGACTGAGAGCATATGATCATGTCCTTCTGCATATTCAAGATACGCAAAACCTTTGCGCTTTGCGGCCATCGGAACTCTAAACGCGTCATAAAACATCGTCACTATTGTTTGCATTGCAGAGCGCAAAATCGAGATTTTCAAGCCCCACCATCGCGCGGTACGAAAGGCGTACGCCTTTCAGCACACCTTTCGCCGACGTCTGGCTAGCTCTACCTATGATATCTAGAGTCATAAGAGTAATTAGTGCCATGGAGAAAATGGCATTCAAGTACGCTGAATCCAAAGTAAGACGTGCTCATGAATGTAACAGTAGGATTGAGGAAGAGGGGGATTGCATTGTTGGTGTAGCTACGAACAGAGTCCGCAACAATCAATCCGGATTGTGAGATTGATCTTGTGAGATTGTCAGATTGAAGCTATAATCAAATCAAGAAGCTAGTCTTTAGATTGGTAGCTCAATCAATCAATCCGTGACATCTAGATTACCAGATTGATGAGATTGTGCCGCTGCTGTAGGGGTGGAGGGTGAAGGATAGATAAAGGATGGAGTTTCTCGTGATAGCGCGTCGTGACGCGTCGTGGCGCGTCCTACTAAGTCGTATTACCTAGCGGAGCTCCCCTCACCCCTCTATCCTCCGCCTATATCGTTCGTTTTTAACAACGCGTTACAATGCCTCCCCGATCTCAAAAGAAGCGTAGCGGCGCACCTACAGTTGCTGCTAAAGCTGCTAAACGACTGCGCCTATCGCAGCGATCGCTGTCGCCCCGAGAAGCCCTAGCTAGCCAGGCCACCGAGTCGCCGTCTGAGCCAGCGTGGGAAACGCAATTTTTGGAGTCGCAACCTGAAGCTGAGATCGCCGCGCCCACTGAGGGCAGCCACGCTGGCACTGGATTAATAGCAGACGACGCTGGCGCAGGCCGGTCGACGTGGGAGACTGACGAAGCTGATCACTTTGATGGGATTAATTGGGAGCGGCTGAAGCAATACATGAAGCCAGTTAAGGCGCCAACAGGTAAGAAGAGTTGGATATATCAGCATGGCTATCGCGTTGTTAAGCGGAGCAACCCAAAAAGCGTGTGGTTTGTATGTAGATACTGCCATTCTCACAAGGTCTTTGGTGGTGGCCTATACGATATAACGAGAGCGACGTCTGCAGTAGCAACTCACCTCCGGAAGGCTGCACGAGGCCATGGCCTGTCTAACGATCTCGACGCAAAAAGCAGCATCGCGTACGGGCAAGGTCAGCTATCGCTGCAGCAGGCGATCGACGGCGGCGTTGAACTATCCCAAGAAGCAGCCAACGTATTTGGCTACTTTAACGTACAACAGTTTCGACTCGCCTTTGTTCTCTGGCTTGTCGACAACAATATGCCAATGGAAATAATCGCCCGGCAATCGACGCGCGACATGATCAAGTTCGCCAACCCAGAGGCAGAAAGCGCGTTGTGGCGAAGCCCTCGCAGTGTCGCAACGTATGCGATGAGGCTGTTCAAGTTGCTAAAGCCGCAGATAGTCTTAGCCCTATCTGCAGCTATAAGCAAAATACACATAAGCTTTGACGGCTGGACGACTAAGGGCGGGAAGCGCGGCTTCTTTGGGATCGTTGCCCATTTTGCTACAGCAGCTGGTGCCGTACACGACTTGCCTATTAGCCTCCCGCAGCTCGCTGGCGCGCACACAGGCAAGATAAAAATACAATTCTGCGCAACCTAGCTAACTTCTATAGGCGAGGCTATTGCTGCTGTTGTTATCCAGACGCTGAGAGAGTTTGGCATTACACCTGATCAATTAGGCTACTTTGTCCTCGACAACGCGTCAAATAATGACACCGCAATTGCAGCAATTGCGCGCGATTACGGCGGCTTTGATCCTATACACCATCGTCTCCGCTGCAGCCCTCATACGATCAATCTTATTGGGCAAGCTCTGCTTTTCGGCGACGACAAGGACTCGTACAACAACGTTGCAGAGCAGCTTAGAACAGAGGAGCTGTACATGCGCGAGTGGCGCCGACATGGGCAATTAGGCACGCTAATTGCAGTTATCAACTTCATCAGGACGCCGCAGCAGCATGAGCTTTTCCAGGCTTGCCAGCGCGACGCCAACAAAGCGCTGCCGGCCGATGATCAGATCCCACTCCTTACACCCGTACGCCCGGTCGTCACCCGCTGGAACTCGTATCACGCCGCTATTGAGCGCGCTACAAAGCTCCACGGCGCCTTTGATCGATATATGGAGCACCACATTAAAAGTGTCGCTTTTAACGAAAAGCGCAGCGGTAGCGCCTGCAAGGATGTGCCGGCTTGGATGAGGCAAGGCGGGCTCGCTGCCAACGACTGGGCAACAATTACAGAGTACCAGAACTGCCTTAAGCCGCTTAAGATAGCAACGAAGAGGCTAGAGGGTCGCGGTAAGGTTGGCAGTTTTGGCGCAATCTACGAAGTGCTGCCAGTCTTCGAGTATATACTGCGTAACCTCGAAGAGCTTGCGCAGCCATGGATTGACGTTGACTTCAACGCGCATAACGAGGCGCCAGAAGGTATATTTTGCAGCTACTTACAGGTTTTCCTCGCTAACGATTGCGTCTATAGATCACCTTCATATTAACCTCCGCGCTGCCTGGAACAAGGCTGACGCTTACTACAATAAGCTCGACGACTCCCCAGTCTATTACGCTGCTACGTGCCTCCACCCTCTCTACAAATACTACTGTGAAAACAGTTGGAGCGAGAAGCCAGAGTGGATCGAGGCCGCTAATAAGGGCTTCCAGCGGCTTTGGAAAAGCTATAAAAAGCTGCCAACGCCAGTGGCTATTCCAGCGGCTCGAGCCGCCCGAACAAGCGATATAGACGAGGTAATCGGGGCCTATACACAGCGTAATCACACAGCAGCAGCCCCGCAAGGCGATGAGTATGACCGCTGGCTTAATCAAGAGCCGCCATGGCGTAGCCTTGACGACGGTAACGTTAGCCAGTACTGGATTGCGATGCGCTCAAAATACCCCTGTTTAAGCCAGTTTGCAATCGATATACTGACTATCCCAGCCTCAAGCTGTGAGTGCGAGCGGCTCTTTAGTGAGCTCGGTGATCTACTCGAGCCAAAACGACGCGCGATCGGCAGTGAGTTGCTTGCGGCTCTACAGCTTATACGGGCATGGACTCGGGCTGGCTACACTACCATAAAAACAATTGAAACGCACAGCGGCGACGGTGATAGTAGCGGCAGTAGTAGCGAGAGCTTTACAGACGACTCACTGGCGCGAGAGTACGATATATACAACTGGACAGACTCGTTAGATATCGTAACTCTGGGGGAGTAGCTACACTACCAAAATCTAAAATTTCTGACAATCAAGTCAAGTCAAGACAATCTCAACTGCCTCACGACACCTCAATCTGCAATCAAAACAATCCGTAGGGCTGCTCTCGCCTAATCAAGTCAAGAAATCGGTCTCAGATTGTCTTGACTTGATTGTTGCGGAGTCTGGCTACGAAGGTGGGCAGCTATATATATGAATGTGGGATGTACGAAGTGTGGTAGCGAGAGCAGTACCCAACTTGTACCAGAATATGTCTTGGCAGGACCCAAACCGTTACAATGAAGATCCCCTGCTCTAACGCAAACGACAAAGTTACTTGATTATTCAGAGCGCCCCTAGGATACTATATAAGCCTAAAAGATATGGTTTTAATCTTGCATCCCATGCGGCCTTTATCTAGGTGTACTCCGGGTTGTTCCAGCCTGCTGTAACTTTCGTTGGCTTTTCCAGAGAGTAAATACTTCGCGTGCTGGCATACTGACAGATTTTGAATAATTGAATAACCCCCTTCCCTATGTGCCGGAAAACCTTGCGGGCCGGAATGAGCCAATGAGATACACCATCGCGCAGGAATGACTGCTGACTTTGCGCTCCTATTGGCCAGTTCCGGCCCATCAGGTTTTCCGGCACACACGAAGGGGCTTTAGCCTGTAATTTTGCTATAAAAAGCTTGCGATAGATGGATATAGGTACGAGAACATACATATCATCTTGACTATATTAAACTGTGCGGCTTGGACAGGAAATGCTTGGACAATGTTGGTGGTCCGTTGGAGGGATATTCGACCCACAGGGACGGACGTTACCTAGAATAGATGCTATCCTTGCAAGACTACTGGGCTGGTAATCAACTTTCGGTATCGAAATTCTATTTTGACGCCTGGATCAGGAATATTTTCAGCCCCAATGCAAAGGTTCGCCGGACGATCATCTTGAGCTGTGGCAAAACGCCAGTCATAGTCACGCAAGAGATGGATCAAAAGAACTTTGATCTCTGTGGCAACAAAGAAGCGTCCTGGACAAGCGTGAAGTCCATGGCCAAATCCAATGTGTTCAGAAGACGTCGTAACAAGCAGGTGTTTCTTTTCATCGCCTGTTGCCTCTTTAAGTCTCAGGAAACGGTCCCCTTTGAACACGTGTGCTTCTTGATAAGTGCTATCGCTCTGCATCATAGTAGTCGGAACAGCCAGAAGAGCCCCTTTCGGAATCTCAGTGCCATCAGAAAGGACCAGATTTTCCTCTGCCCGACGATTCATAGTGACTAAAGTTGGTATTGTCATGTTAGCATCAATTACTCAAAAGTGTTTCCTGAGTTATACTAACTGAGAGCCATTGGGTGGAGACGCTGGCTCTCCTTCAAAAAGCTATCCATCAACTGTAACTTTACCAACTTGGATTTCTCTATGGAACCGTCTCCAAGGACACGATCAATTTCTTCGCGCAGGCGGTCCATGTATTCAGAATAGGCGCACAGATCATACAGCACGTTGGTAAGAAAACCAGCAGTCGTGTTGATCGCTGCAATCGAAAGTCCCAGCTGGGCGTTGACAATGTCGTAGGGTCTTTCACCAGCTTCGTGCTTTAGCCATGCCCAGGCATCAGACTGACTTAGTAGTCCGCCAGTCGCCTTCAGATGGTCACCCATGATATGTAAGGCATGCCGCTTTGTCCGCCGTAGCTGCGAAGTCTCTTGAAGGAACCAATGGACAATGGGCTGCAAGAAGGTAGGCCATATCCGGAGGGCGCGAGCAGCCCGGAAAACCTCGACTGCGTGCGCGACTAAAATTTGCAGCCACTCAGAGTTTCGGCATAGCTCTTTCCCCACGAAAACCCTCGACGACAAACGGGCGCTCAGGATCTGAGCGCATGGATAGAAATTGACTGATCGCCATTCTGATACGTTCAACATCTAGCCTATACGGGATTGAAATTCTATTCAGGAACGTTGTGCTTACCTTTTGTGTGTGCAAATAGATCCGGCAACGCTGCCCCTGCCTCATCAGATACTATCTCTGTCACCGCCACTGCATAATGTGTCAGCTCTGTAATAACACAAAGTATGAACTCTGCTAACATACCTAATGAATTGCTGATTTTCTTTCGGACAGTGTCTAGCAGAATCCCGTCTTGTACGACAGCATGAAAAGCCTCAAAGCCAGGATAATCATAGAATAGGTCCTGATTGTGACAGCGCGCTTTGTAAATATATATAGTTTGTAGAAGAGTTAATAACGGCTTACTTTTTTTATAAATCCAAGAAATGTCAGTCTTGGGTCAGATGAAATCTCTTCAACCATAGTGGGGGGGACGATGATCTTTGGCCCAGTGTTCGCAAATATTTGGAAGGGGCCGGAATGCTGTTCATTTCATATTATATCATGATCTTGCTGAGCTTTCATAATTTTCTTTCTTACCTGTTTCAAGCCGGCAGCGATAACAGCGTTTGCGTCAGTCAGAAAACGTTTTTTAGCATCCCAAGTACCTGTATCGTTTTCCTGAGTCCCAACTACAGGTATTCCATAATATGGCCGGTCATCTCCGTATCTCCGCACAAACCATAGTAAGGCAACAACCAGAGATGAACTGTAGAAGAGAACTTGATATATAATGGGCATCTCACAGTCCATTTTGTATAGCTATAATAACAATATCAAGTTAAAAGCAGGCCAACTAATTATTAGCTCAGTATGCTCATACCATGAAGCAAAGATAATTTATTCATTCTCTTCACGTTGGTCGGTCAATTGGATTGCGAAGTTAACCATATGTAGGGGTGACGTGGAGCTTCCAGACATGACGTGGAGCATCTGAATATGACGTGGAGCATCTGAATATGACGTGGAGCCTCCAGATAGGGCAAAGAGCTTCCTTCTAGCTAACTAGAACGTAGAATTTACATGGCAGGATTTCAATGATATTGCCCGTGCCGGAGCGCAGGCCTGTCACCTCAATGATAACACATAGCTTTTAGTACATATATACACTCTCATGCAGTTGCAGCTTCCGGTTTCTGTAAGCAGGCGGCTTTTGATCCCATGCTAAGCCTCTCTCATCCAATAGTGACCTTACCCAAATAGTGCTAGCTCTTGTCAGCAATGCCACGGGTCAATCTTCTCCTCAATACTCCGGCCAATCAAACGGAGATACCTATGGAGTCTAAGCCTCTTCTGAGCAAGCGTGTACTGGGAGAATTGATGGCCTATGCGAGATGACAATTGAGCCGCGTGTGCAAAGCGGAAGCTGCAAGTGCATGAGAGTGTACATCTACCACAGCCGCGCGTAGTTGAATAAACTTGACTAAATATTTAAATAATTGAAAAGCATCATACAGTGCTGAAAAATATCACAATAAAACATCGTCAAGTTGTGGGTGCTGCAAGTCAAGTTGAAGTTGCTCCACCTGCTCACACTTATTACCACCACCTAAGAAATATTTAGTAGATGAAAAGCTTCGGATACATCTATGTACCAATACACTGGGACGTTCCGAGATAGCTGCTGCTGTGGGTGGTTGTACAGCCTCATATTTCTGAAGTCCTTATATTGTTGGGGTGGCTCATCAGCTGAAGCGGACAGCTGTTAGCTTTCAATCCCTCGGCCTTCCGTCAAGGAGAGAATCCTTCTTTTTACTTGTAACAAAGGACTGGGATTCTGGATCTTTGGGAAAAAAAATTATGCGGCCAGACTCGTACCGTGATGATGGGCTCATCTCGCATTTCTCTACAGTACCACCATCTGGAACTGCGGGCTTCCTGTCGCTGAAACTAACACGCCGGAAGATACACTGCTTGAGGTGGACATGGGCAGCCAGAAACAAAAGGGTAGGAGGTAGGCCTTGCTTAGACATTGTAACGGTTTGGGACTTGCCAAGACCGACTTGGGTGAGAGTTGGGTACGGCTATCTGTCAGATTAGATAAGATATTGCACAAAAGTGATGGATGTTCATGATTGATTGTTGTTGTGTCTGTTCTAAGGTGCGCGCTGAGAGTTTTGTTCTGCTAAGACGCTAACCCGTTATTAGCTAGCGGTGTCGGCACTTTCGGCTCGACACGCCTGCTATCTGACACTATCGCTACCACACTTTCTCATCACACACACCTATATAGCTGCAGTTCCTCCATAGCTACACAATGCAACGCAGTCCTCCTCCTCTCCTCACACCGTTACAGACATCACCTTTGAAACAATTAGCTTAGCAAATGAGTATTTTGCGACAAAAGCGACCACCTTACAAAACACTTCGTCTATTCATAATATAATCCGCCAATATATAGAATTCAAAAGATAGAATGATGCTAGCCACGGAACTTCTCGCATATATGTTAAAATCTTAGACATCACGTAGCCGGACGTTACGTATATGACATAAAGTCTGTCCCTATGTGACGAAAAACCCCGCGTGCCGAAAATGACCAATCGGATTACGAGGGTCGTAGATAAGTGTCATCCTTGCGATCCGATTGGTCATTTTCGGTACACGGGGTTTTCGTCACATAGGGGCAGACTTTATATTAGTTAGCCATAATATGATACTGTCGGATCGTGAGTATCGGTAGAGACGTCGGCTGCTTGACACTTCGGCCCGACTTCGGCCCACCTTGCGCAGAGCTTAGGTATACCTTCGTAGCAGCTATGTTCGTAGACAATCAATCAGAACCACCGAACAGAATGCATTCCTAGTTATCGTTATTTCCCTTTACGCACTTAGTGCAAAGCCAACCAACAGATACTCTAATACTCGGAACCAAGCTGCTTGCCTTTACCATCATAACCTCGGGTTCCGAGACATAGCGTTGCGGGCGATAATCAAGCCCATGTTTTTGTACACGTCATTTTGGTAAATTGGTTTTGCCTTCACACGCGGCTCCACGTCATCGTAGCCAGCGCCGATTCATGTATGTTTTTGACCTAATTAATATAAGTAGTGACACTAACTCCGATAATGGAAGTTCACGCAAAAACAACAGATCTAATGCAAACTTGATTTCTGGGAAAATATTCAATCTGTCGGATCGTGAGTATCGGTAGAGACGTCGGCTGCTGGACACTTCGGCCCGACTTCGGCCCACCTTGCGCAGAGCTTAGGTATACCTTCGTAGCAGCTGTGTTCGTAATAAATCAATCACCATCACCGAACAGAATGCATTCCTAGTTATCGTTATTTCCTTTCAGCACTAGTGCTATAGACCTTCCAACACAATCTTACTCTGTACACCCCACGCTTTATATGCTTACAAGCACATGTCAATAAGCCCAGATACAACAAGCCCAAATACGCAGCATGACAGTGGATTTCAGAGCACGTGCCCTCGAGTGGATAGACACTATTGTCAACAAGCGCAACACTGAGGCAGGAGCTGCTTTTATGCACGACTCCATCCAATTAGTCCACAACGATACATGTCTAACGAAGCAATCATTCGTGGAGCTATGGCCTCAAATCTTGATCAAAAGTCCAAATTTTCGCCTCAAAGTAAAGGATACCCTGGCTGAAGGGAATTGCGTGTGGATATACTCGGAGGCCAGCGGGCGACTTGGTGGTGGCCTAGTCGATGATGTTCATATGTTGCTCTTCGACAATGGTGGTATGATCATACGGAGTCATGGAATACAACGACTAAAAGAATCAGAGGGACCAGGGGGGTCTGTTCTGCAGTAACAACGATATTTCGCTCAAAGACAACTTCGTAATATGGTTGATATAGTCTCAAATTAGAGCCTCGATCTCGCAGCTGTAGGATCGATTGAGTAGTTACTAGCCTTCATACTAATGAAGAGAAGACTAGGATTGGATAGAATGAATGTCTTCTTGCGTAGTTGAAATGACAAAGCTTGAATCGGTAAAGCAAAAAAAAAACTTCCACATAGTGATCCTCTAGCTCTTCTTCCAAGTCAGTCGATTAGCGTTTGAGGAGAGCTGGATCTAGAGAATTTAGACTGCTCGATGTTGTGGACTCCCGATATTATCCGCCCGATTTGAATAGCCCGCCAATACAATAAGGCCCTGCATGCTCTTCCTAATATTTCTTAACAAGAGACACACGATTTCGGGGTGATATACCTGCATTATGGTCTCGGTAGAGACAAGACTATCAGGATCCAATATCAATGCGCCTAACTAGATAAGGAGGAAGTTGATTTCCATACACGTGCAAAATGCATAAGCGCTTGTTTCATCCAAGTAAGGGTTAGCTATCTCGCCTAACAGAGGGATGTTGTCTGCCTAGTGCGAATTTCTTCCTGCTGCCTGAGGCCATAAAGCACACAAGGCAAACAGACTACACGCTAGGCTGCGCGCAGGAGAGCTGTCAGATTGAGGCGAGGTTTTGCTCCATGATCGAGCCGATGGTGGTTGGGGAAGGACATGAGACCCCCAAACCAGGGCTAGCGCCGGGACTTAGCACTGCCAAGCCCGAGGCGAGGCCACCTCCCACAGACAGAGCCGTAGACAGAGACAGACAATACACACTTGATCCCATCCATAAAAATCTGACAAGAGCGATAGGTCAGGCCGTGATTATTGAACGGCAAAGCAAGCGGCGAGATATGAATTGCCTAGTATAACTGGTTACAGTGATGCTTGGCGTTGATGTGATGGAATCTTCGGAAGGATATATTCGGAATCGTAGGTAACCGGATGTTCCGCCTCAGATCTGCCTCGATCCGACCCTGCTTTAGGGTATTCATCGCTATAAAATAACACAGATACTCTTTTGGCTTTTGCGACTAGCTTTGTTTCATTCAAATTGTTATCGATCCTTTTAAGCTCCAAACTCGTTCAACATGAGCAACGATGGCTTACTCCAATGGGCGGAGGCTTTGTCTGCGGCCACTTCTACCCTACTTGAATCGCTAAGAGAAAATAGCCAACAATTATATGAACCGGCTTGTTCGCAGGCATCTAAGGAGCAAAGTCACGATGAAAGTACTAAGGAAGAGCATGCTCTTCCTTCGAATTGTGCACGGTACATCTTAAAATTGAAGAGTGTTTATCAGGTTCTTATGGCTTTACAGGTTAGAAGAACCACAAATCAATTATAAAATGCCTTATACACCACTACAGAACAACAAGCACACAAATCTACTGGAATATCCAGATGCCTCTTCCGCAACAAACGAAGACCTAAGTCGCCTTGCGGAGGATCAATCTCCGGGGGAGTTTCAAGACATTTATGAACTTCGAAAACAACATATAAGGCATGGGAGCAGTTATTTTGATCATATTCGCAGAGGCTACCGAGGCGGGTGGCGAGGCGGGTACCGCGCCAACAATTACAAAACCTATCGCCGAGGCTCTCCGTACGGCCCGAGGCCTTCGTTTGAACGACTATCAAGGTAGTTCATTAAGATATACAAGCTGCCAGGGCTAAAGGGATACTGTTGTAACAGGCTGAGCCTATTACATGCGCTACGCTGTGTGCGTAGCTGTACGCTGGCAAATGGGTTGGGTATACCCAGTCTTGGGTTGGGGTTGGGTTGGGGTCGCACAGACCATGGGTTAGGGTTGGGTTGGGGTCGCACAGACCATGGGTTAGGGCTGGGCTGGGGTCGCACAGACCAAGTGGTAGGGTTGGGCTTGGGTTGGGTTGGGTTGGGTTGGGGTTGGGTTATATTTTTTGGGTACTTTAACGGAACAACACTTAATTAAGATAATGTGTACACGTTGATGATATAGTAGATACATAAAACGAGATATATTAACACAGCTAATTATCACGGTAGCGCTGAGGACGCTGGCGCTTTCGAGGTGGCAATTGACGCTCCTCCTGGACCTCTTCCTCCGACTCTTCTTCTGTAGTCTGGTTCTCCTCATCTATATCGAAGGTATGCTCTAACGAGGCTGGAAGCTCAAAAAGATCATTAACCTCGTCAATTGGCTCTCCATCCTCCCCTAATTGAGCAACTAGGTAGTCTAGACCCTGTTCTTCCTCTTGAGATATTGTATCCTTAAGAACCATTATCTGCTGTATTGTCCGGGCAGATAGTCGGTGCCTCCGACTACCAATAACATCCTTAGCAACATTGAAAACTCTTTCAACCCCAACCTGAGCAATTGGTATTGCTAGTATATCCTTCGCCACTTGGGATAGTCTATTAGCAGATGTCTATGATAAACAGCTGTGATAACTTACCAGACTTTTTCTGGGTAAACCGCTTCTCTGAAAGTATATCCCACTCTTTCTCTAGCAGCTTAGCCTGTCTAGCACTATTTGCTAATTTATACTTAGGCTGTTGCAAAAGCGATTTCTTCAGTTGGTACTTCGCGGAGCGGTCGGCTGTTCTAACGCTTTCAAGTACCTTCTCCTCTTTATCGAAAAGAGCTTTGCGTTCACGTTGAGCAATAGCACGGGCGCTACCACTCAGAGAGCCAGTATAGGGGACGCTCAAATTGATAGGTCGGCCTTTTCGTGAACCCCCACTACCTCTTTGATCTAAGATACCGTCAATCTCGTCAGCTTCACACGCAAATCCCTGCTTATATTAGCATAAGCTGTGATAAATGGCTGTGATTATTACATCGGTAAGCTGCTCCCACTCATCTTGTTCGAACCCAGGCGGAGGTTCAAGTTTGATGGCTGGAACTAGGCCTTCAGGTACGTCGCCGACTTGCTCTTTCGCGACAGGCATGGCGGGGACTGTGATAATGCGCTGTTGTAAATGGGGTGTTTTCAATGTAGTAAAGAGAGTTATTAGGTGTTGGGAGTTACTGGGCGTCAGGGGCTGGAGAAATGGGTAGACAGCATTATGCTCACCTAGAAATGGTCCGTGCGCTGCTGCCTGCGCTAGCGCGAAAACGCGGAAATTACCCAAAATGATCAACACATCGATGATTCCTTCATTTTTGGGCTGTACGCATGCGCGAGCTCGGCGTTTATCACAGCAGTTTAACACGTTTGTATGATATGCTCGCTACTGATTTTGCAACAGAAATGGTTGTATGCGATCGTGAAACAGCAAATTACGTCATGCAGTCCGTGCGCTGCTGCCTTTACTAGTGCGGAAATCGGGAAATTGCCGTCGCCCAAACTTTCCAGCTACCTAACTCTTTCAGCCTACTACTTTCTTAATTGTCGACCACATTTATCACAGTAATTAATCACATACGTCGCCTACGTTCATCATCTACTCTACTACGCAATGGCAAGGACAAAACCACGGCCTAAGGTCACCGGTAAAGCCGGCCGGGGTGGTCCTGATGGCAAGACAGTTACTGGCGGCAAGCCGGCTCAGAAGGCCCTTGCTAGTAAGGCTAGACGTCAAGTAGCAGGAAAGTCTACGCGAAAGGCACCTGTAGCTGTTAAGAAGAAGCGCAAGTTTAAGGCCGGCAGTAGGTTATCACAGTCGTTTATCACAGCTATTTTCTAATTTAGCTTAGCTGTCGCATTACGGGAAATCAAGAGATACCAGAGAGGTTTTGAACTACTCTTGCGAAAACTCCCCTTTTCCCGCGTAGTGCGCGAATTTGCACAGGTGCACAAGGCCGATATCCGCTTTCAACGATCTGCAATCGAAGCTCTTCAGGAAGCTACAGAAGCTTTCTTAGTTGGTTATTTTGAGGGTATAGTCTATCTACCCTATACTATTTTTCATTTAATAACTTTTATAGACTGCAACATCAATGCTATTCACGCAAAGAGGGTTACTATTCAAGAGAAGGATTCTCAATTGGCTAGGCGCTACTTTGCGCGCGAGTTACTAGCTTTTCACTAGATTATAAGATATATCTAGATACACGTGCTTAAATGCTAGCTGGC